CCAGTATCGCTCTCTTAACTTAGCAGCTAATATCTGCACTCCCGCATGACAGTTCTTTTCATGATACTCTCTTATGAGGCATTCAGTTAAATAATGCTTGGACGGAAGCAACAGGGGATAAAGGAAGCAGAATTCATCATCACGTTCAATGATTTTAGTTTTAACTCTGAGGACTCCGTCGTTGTCTCTCACTACCAATAATCCATGGACGGAATCTCCTTTCTCTTGAAAGTGCTTCCTTTGCTCTAAAACTCCACAAAAATGTTTCGGCGTTAGTTTTTTCTTCTACTGTTAAGGTATCCGAAGAATACGAGGGCTTCTTTAGGAGTTTATTAGTAAAGCGTAGAACCCAGCAGAATACTCGAACTATTTTAGAAAAACTCGAAAAACGTTTGTACCACTCAGAATCTTCTAATTTTATACTCAAATTGACAATTACTCCCTTCTTAATTTCTGCTGCAACAGAATTTTCGTCTGGAGTAAACTCAAAGTCTGGCCATTCTTTCGGAGAGCTTTTCAGAAATTCGGGGCCCTCCCACCAATTGCATTGCCGCAAATGTTCAGGCGTACAGCCACGAGATGCCACATCTGCCGGATTCAATTTCCCAGGGATATGTCTCCAACATTCCTGCTTCGAGAGTTTCCGAATCTCCTTTACTCTATTATTCACAAATACTCCCCAGTTTTCCTCTCGTTGTATCCAGCTAAGAGCCACAGTAGCGTCTGTCCAGTAATATATCGGGACATCGACTAAGCACAGGGTTTCAACAGTATACCTTGCCAAGCGTGCACCTAGAACACAGGCTAGCAACTCCAAACGCGGAATAGTTATTTTCTTTAAGGGCGATACGCGTGATTTTGCTATGACGAATTTCACGAAAACTTTGTCTTCTTCCTTACTTCGTAAGTAAATGACAGTTGCATAAGCGGCTTGACTGGCATCGCAAAAGACGTGTAGAGTCCATGAATCCTTAATTCCATGACCCATGCGACGAGGTAATTTAAGGCTGGAAAGACTAGGCAACCTTTCGTACCATCTCTCAAATCTTGTTTGAAGTTCATCTGGTAATGGCTTATCCCAGGTCGATTTTGTTGCCCAAGCCTCTTGAAGAATTAATTTCGCAGGTAATATGACGGGCACAAAGAAACCTAGCGGGTCAAAAACAGCATGGATTAGAGACAATAGTCTCCTTTTTGATAAGTCTCTTTTAACGATTTCTCTTTGGACGGATATTGTAAGGCTGTCATCTCGTCGGTCCCACTGCAAGCCTAGAACTGCGGAGACTGGATCACTATCTTCAGCTGCTAGCTCTTGATCACCATATTGATTAAAAGTCCACATTCGAAGATCCATTTTGGCTTCTGCCATAATAGTAATCGACTGGCTCATAAAAACCTTTAGCTCTTCGTTATCATCGACTGACGTGACACAATTGTCAACATAAAATGATTTGGCAAGTTTATTCGCAACAGCTTTGAATTCAGGTGAAACGTGGGACAAATGAAATGAAATCACAGCTGCCAATAAATAGGGGCTACTAGTTAACCCAAAAACAACCCTCTTGTGACGAAACACTTCAATTCTATTATTTACCCACCACAAAAACTTTAAGTAATTTTGATCCTCACGCTCTACCTCAATCTGTAAAAAAAGGCCCGCCTGAATATCGGATGTTACACCAATTGCCTTTTCCCTAAACCGCATTAGAATGGCTGAGATTTCTTCTACAAGGTTTGGACCTTTTATCAAGCAATCATTTAGCGAAAGCGAACCAACGACTTTGCTCGACGCATCGAATACAGGCCTAATCTTGGTAGTGAGGCTACCTAATTTTATTACTGGATGGTGTGGTAAATAATGCCCTCCGTCATTCTTTACTGATTTTGGGACAATTTCTATGACATCTTCCGCTAGCCATTCGTTAAATACTGTACTATACTCATCAAATTTATTTAATTTTCTCAATTTTCTCGTAGTAGCAAAGAGCCTCTTTTCTGCAATATGCCAGTTAGAGGGAATATCAGGAGGGAATTTTAGAGCCCAAGGTAAACTCACGCAATATCTACCATCTCCGGTTCTGCGAAGGCCCCTAAGAAACTGCTCTTTCGCTGCTTGATCTTCTGCGACCCTGGAAATGCTTTGCGCATCATCTGCAATGCCGATAGTTTCTAACTTCCACATAAAGGAAGGTTCCATGTCTTGAATAAGAAGATTAGTTACTAACATAGATGGGGTACCCTCAAAACTTTGGATAATCGTTCCTTTTCGATTCCCCGCACAGCGTCCATCCCAGTTTAGTATTTTATGGCTGTCAAACCACCCTCAAGCTGAATTACTTCACCAGTAAGTATTTGCCCATAAATATCACTCCCTATGAGGATTTCTATTTCCGGGTGACCCTCACCGACATCTGAAATCCAAATTCTGTGTCTTTTTAATTCCTTCAATAACGGTCCTTTAGGTATGCGTGGTATGCCTCCACAAATGGTATTTTGATCCAGAAAACTAAATTGGTACACTTTGTTTTTCCCAACCGGGCTTAGACCTATAGAATATCTCTTGTGAATTTTTGACTCAGTCCTTGTTCCGCCAAATAACGCGTGAGTTAAAGTTTCAGAGGAAGTGCTTTTCAGATTTAAAGCTTCAACTGTGGATTGTAAAACGTAAGATCGTTGGGATCCACAATCCAAGAGGCACCTGACCACCTTCTTTACAGTGCCTACAACTATTTCAACCATTAACGTCATAAGAGTGACTTCATTCATACATAAGGGAGAGGACATTGTACTTTGTACCATTACTGACTCGTTTCGTTTTCCTTATTGTCAGCATTGTTTTCTGATACCTCCGGGCATAAAATTATAGGGTGAGATCGCCTACACAAATAGCATTGAATAAACTGTGGACACTTCTTCGCAAAATGCCCTGGTTTAAGACAGCGGAGGCAGCATTTTAATTCTCTTAATTTGTCTAATCTTTCCTTTAAGCTCATCGATCGAGCTGTAAAACATTCTTTGCTTTCGTGAGATTTTCCGCAAAAAACACATTTTTGTTCTTTGACAGCAACTAGACTTGCTGCGCTAGCGATTGGTTTTTTGGTCTTAACTTTTACATCTTTAGAATGTTCATTGCGCGAAGTAGAAGAAATAGAAGAAATTCAAATCCAGACCTGGCTAGTTTAACTCTCTGCTCTCCTTCGACCTCTTTACGCAAAAATTCCAGGAGATTTGTGAGACGTGATCCTTCTTTACTGAACAAAACGCTTCTCTGCCATACTCGAAGCATCTCAGCAGACAGACAAGACTCGACCATGGGATATAACCAGGAAACATTAGTATCCAGGGCTAAGCCTAAAGACTCTAGAGATCTGAGATGGGATTCGATTTTGTCAAACAGTGACACTAGCGGCAACCGATCCTTCCCTTGTGAGCGTACATTTTGGATAATTAATTTTAACAATTCCCTCACATATATCTCAGTTAAAATTTCCTTGTTTCCAAAACGCTCCTCAAACGCAGAAATGGCTTTCGGGTAATTTTCAGCCGTTAAAGGATAACTATCTATCAACTCACTAGCCCGAGTTCCGGGTAACATTGATTGAGCTAAATAATGGAATTTGTCAACGTCATTAAGCTCCTTATCCTCATGAATCTTTTTAAATTGACCCCAAAATGTAAGGTAACTTAATAATTGTCCATCGAATTTTTTAATTTGAATTTTCGGCAACTTGTACCGTTTTTCATTAGAAGCACTTATGCTACTATCCGTGTTAGAAACTCATCTGAATATTCTTCGCAGCCTATGACCTCTGTTTCCAGATCATTTTCAGCGGCTTTTCCCTTAATCATTGAATCTAGTATTTCTGAATCGCAAGATCTCAACTCAGCAATTATCATCTGCAACTTCAAAATTTTGTCTTCAATACATCTCTACCCGCTTGAACATCTTTACAAAGTTCGGTTTTTAGAATCTTAGCCGTCCTAGTAAAGGCATTGCGTGCCGTTGCACGCTTTTTCTTCAACATATCAACATCCATTTTATCTTTAAATGCAGACCCACTTAAAACTCAAAATCTGTAATGTTATCATCAATCCGACAAATCCTCAAAAACGTCTTTACTCAGCAATTCCAAAAATATAACTCAATATAATAAAAATGAATAACAATATGTCATAACATTCATAATACAGCAAAACAAAATTATTTTGAATATCACAGCAGAAGATTTAACGCATAACCTTTTCTACGTTTACACTGCAGACGATTTAACGCATAGCATTTCGATTGAAAATTGAAACTAATTCGAATACAAATACGAAATTCAACATTGCAGACGATAAAACGCATTACGTTTCCAAATAACACTTAAATTAATATTTACTTCTACAATAATATAATATAGCAAACACAATACTTTCTCAACTATATTAATATAATAATCCCAACACATTCGAATCAGGATCGCAATCCTGGCTGGCTCGCCATTTTGTTATGTCGTGGAGCAAAAACAATTTTACTTTACACCTGACTGCCACTGGCTCCGACATAGCAATGTGAATACTCTACATCTAAAATTTTAAAACACCATTCCAGAATTTTAAATGTTTATTTAATAGAATTCTATTCATATATTTGCAAGTTATACACTATAAACACAATAAACAAAATTTTAACTTATCTGCACCAGCGTGAATAAACCTGGCATAATATTCTGAACTCGACGCAACTTTAGGAGGAAAATTACCGCAAATTCAAACACAAGGTTTCATCCTTTCCAACGCAGCTAATTTTCTAAATACATTTTACTAATATTCGCAGCGGGACAGCGGATTCATTTCATTCACCCAAAACTCAAATGTTTTAACGCAATAGTATCGCAAAGGAAACATCGACTCAAAATCAAAATATTAAAATCTATAGAATATCATCCGCTGTTGCCATTCCAGCACTGCCAAGTTTTTCTTCCTGCAGCTGTTGCCAGACTTATCCTCGCTGTATGATGAGAGGTACAACACCTTGTATTAGAAATCGAGGCAAGACTGTGACCCAGATAATGGGTGATTTACCCTCGCCCAGAGTTCAACCATCAAGACCTTTTGCAGTCACCGGTGTTGATTATGCTGGTCCATATTCTATTAAGTCCCAAGTTGGGAGAAGAACAAAATCTTTCAAGTGTTACGTATCCATTTTTGTGTGTTTCTCAACAAAAGCTGTACACTTGGAGTTAGTCAGTGATCGTTTCTAGCAGCTCTAAAAAGATTTATCGCCCGACGAGGCAAACCATCTAAAATTTCGAGTGACTGTGCTACTAACTTCAAAGGTGCTAGTAAGGAACTGAAGGAGATTTATAAAAATGCAGCTCGCATTGAGAAAAGCAGTGAATTATGTGACTACATTACCTCAGAAGGTATAACTTGGTTATTTAATCCTCCGACATCTCCTCACTACGGTGGCTTGTGGGAATCTAATGTGAAATCCATGAAATTTCATCTTAAACGAGTATTAGGATCCACACTTCTAACTTACGAGGAATTTTTAACAGTGCTTACACAAGTGGAAGCGTGTATGAATTCCCGTCCTCTTTGTGCGATGTCTAGTGATCCAAACGACTTTAGTGCATTGACTCCAGGTCATTTTCTGATTGGAGCCCCTTTGCTTGCCATTCCGGAATCTGACTTGAGTGATGTGAAATCTTCACGACTTAAACGTTGGTCTCTAGTTCAACAGACTGTGCAACATTTTTGGAAACGATGGTGTGCAGAATATTTAACAACACTTCAACAACGTGCTAAGTGGTTTCGTGCGTCTCCAAATCTAAAATGTGGTGATTTAGTTCTGATCAAAAACGAACAACTGCCTCCAAACCAATGGAAAATTGGAAGAATTGCCTTAATTCATCCAGGTAGTGATAAAAAAGTTCGAGTGGCTACAATCCATACAGCCGCTGGTGATTTCAAACGAGCTGTTACTAAATTGTGTCTTATCCCCAATCATGACTAATATGAACTATGAACTATTGACTTTTTTCATATTATTGAACTTTAATTTTAGTTATATTTTCAATTAATTTTTTTTAATGTTATTATGTATGCTTTAACTATTTTTTTTGAACCCTTAGAAGGCTTCAAGGCCGAGGGCTATGTTTAGTATTTTTTGTTACCAAACGAATTACTAGTGTGTCTTTGCAACAATAGATGACGTTGCTGCCTGATGATTCAATTCTGGTTGCTATGGTAACGAACTTTCAACTCATAATTTATGTGATTTGTTTTCTATTCTTTTTTTTTTTTTTTTTTGTATTGCTACAGTGCTTGGAGTGATGTGAGTTGTGTCGTCACGTGGACGGCATTCCTTCTATTTCAAAGTGTTATGTAAAATAAACAAGTGATATATACAGTCCACTTACCTTTTTTTGTGAACTTATTCTTAACAGTATACGTCCTAAAATAGCTGGAACACCAAGAAAAAATACAAAGGCTAAACATCGATTAACAAAAAACCTTGGGAAAATCAAACAAAGCTAATCTCTTATCAAAGTGTGACGTCATCTTATCAGTTAAATCAAGAATCCCGAAACATTCCTACTTATGTGCTGCGTCTCCGTGTACTCCGACTCCCCAATCCGCCTGCGAGCTTGAACCGCGCACCGCTTCCTGTTGGTGAACTCTTCTTTTCCTACTACTGCCGTATCTTTCCTCTTGTAAATACGAGCCAGTTTTTCTTAGTAAACCTCGTCAAAATCATTACTTCATTAGGGAAATAGCCTTTGAATGCTTTATTTGTACAGTTAACAACCATCCACGAAACAATTGCAATTTCATTTTCCTAATCACTGAGCATCAAGTTTTAAATATAAGGATTTTCTACCCAAAGAATGTACATTATTCCTTTCGAAACTCTAATTTAAGATATAAAATTTAGATTTCCCCTTTGCGTACAATTTAGTTATAATCATTAGTTTCATTATATACTCGTATATAATGAATAAAAGGAAATTCACTTAATATCTGAAGTTATTTATACACCAGACGCAGTAAAATAAATCTGTTATTTACATTCATTCATCAGAAGTATCTTAGAACTGGTTTAGTCTTTATTCTTAACAACTAAAAAAAAAAAAAAAAAAAAAAAAAGGCTACATTTTGTATTTTCAACATAACGTTTTACAGATCTACATTTCATCATAATGGAATTTCAGACAGTGTAATTAAATCGTGCTGTAATATCTGTTTGATTATATGCTCTTATTAAAAATGAAAGTTTGTAAATATAATGGCTATAGAGAGATACGAATGTGTTGTAAAAGCATGATCCTAGCGCACCCGATATATGTAAATAGAATTTATAGGAGTATAATATTTATATTTTAACACAATATGGTAAAACCATAATTAATTACGTTTGACAAAAAATAAGCAAAGCAACAGCCTTGTGTTTCGCTTAGATTTAATCTAGAAGTCAGACAATCTCGAGGACAAACAGGTACAGGTCTCTCTTCATCAGGAACAAAGAAATCTGCCAGTGCAGTGAGACCTGTACCTATTTGCTCTCAAAACCGACTAAGTTCTTGACTAAATCTAAGCCAAACACAAGGTTGTTGCTCTGCTAATTTTATGTTTCACTTTGGCGTGTTTCTCTTCTGTTTATGTTTGAAATGCTACTTTCCATTGAATCATGGATTCTCCGAGCTTAATAAATACCATTTATTATTGGCTTGCAGTTATTCTATTCTGTAATTTTGATTAAAGCATAACAAATTTTTAACCGCAGTCATTTCATTATTAAAAACAAAGATAACAGTGAAATATATGCACTCTTGATTATGATTTATGAAGTATGTTCACGAACTTACAAGGAATATTAGAAGAGTAATTTTAATCGCTAGAGTATAGAGATTTTTGCGCAGACTTTTAATTATCGAAGAATTGCCTGCAGAAGAGAGCAAAAATTTGGAAATTGTTATCAATGTGCGGCTAACTTATTTGACACATGAAGGAAAAGTAATGAGATACATCTTAAAACTAACAGACATATATATCACCGACAGTAAAGTCATTTTATTATTATAATCAAATTTCGCAGTTAATATGTAAAATCTTCATTCATCTACTTTTTTAAATTGTTACGTTTTGAATGCACACTCGTCTTTTAATGGATAAATACACCTACAAGCGGACATCCGAAACTTTAAAGCGTAGGATGTAAAAATCTAAAAATATACCATTTTACAAATGATTGATATTATTGCTCAGTGATTTAAGGAAATAACATTTTTTTAATATTATTAAATTTGAACATAGGCTTTATATTTTCGGTATTGTGCACTTTTAGATCGAAAATTACAAAATATCAGATTTTTTTCTTTATACAAAGCTCAAATTTCTCAAAAGAAGAAAAATGTTAATACGTTACAATTATTGCAACCTCATTCAGAGGAAGCGACAACTTCACCGGCAGCCAGGAATATTTTTACTCTCAGTCAGAATGAGAAAGAGTGGGAAAAAAGGGAAGAAAAGAACCCACTATAAGCAAAGGTTTCAAGAAGACTCTCCGCCGCATTCAAGCAATTCCTACTTGCCTTGTATTACAAAACAAGCACTGAGAGTATCCAAAAGGAAAAATGCAGAAGAAATCGTCTTGCGGGCATCCTGAAGAGCATTCTAATTTCTTCATTGTTTCCAAGTATGTTTCAAATGATAAATCATATTTATTTTCCTTAATACGTTGATGTCAGTAAACACTGGATCTTTTATTTTCATGAAAGGAAAAAAATCTTTAAATTAACTATATTTTCAAATTCACAAAGTAATAAAATTGTAAATTCAAAATCGATTACAATCAAAGGACATAGTATTTCAGTAGTTTATTTTACTTTACTTACGGGAATAAGCGTAACAGCATTTATCTCAGTGGAGATGCTTTCAAACTCAGTATTAACAATATGAAAAACACTTCGAATACTGTTAAAATTTCACAAATAAAGAAAGTTTCGCTACTTTTAATTATTTATCTTCCTTTCATTTGAAAAGACCAAAATTTGACTGTCCCTTACCATCATCAAATAGAAACAGTGAGTTATAATCCATTTTTGCAATTCATTTAGAACAACTCAACTTTCCTACGAATAAAAACGTGTACAAATAAAAACTTCTTCGATGCCTTGCTTAGTATACCATACCACAATGTAGTATACCACGAACAGAATACCACGATTTGGACACAATGATAGTTAGCTTAGGTTGATTTATAAGGTATTTTCTCCCTTCTTTCTCCATGCCTTCGTGGTGTAATTGGAAACATTTTCGACGCGTATTTGAGAGATCCAGGTTTCGAAACCCGGTAAGGGTAATGCATATTTTTCATATCTCCAGCATGAATACCCTTAATGACTCTACAAATTAATTCAGAAACTAAAAGCAACTCGAAGACCATTTGCTTACGAAAAAGCATGCTTTCGTGGAGGACTTTTTAAGGGAAAATATCTCGAATTTACGTTACACAAGAGGAAACCATTAAAACTCCCCAGGATTTGAACCCAGGTCAAACTACCAGTGTTAGTGACATTGCCGCTCGGTCGATACTATGATACTGGAGAAATATTTACAGTATATCAAAGTCTTAATTTCATTTTCCTATTTCTTTGCATCTAAATTGGAAAATTGAAATATTCTCCTCTTTTGATCTTGCTTTTGTAATAAATATATTTTTTTGAATAAAGATTCGTCTATATCATTTTCACATGAATGATAACTTCAAATATCCGTTTGTTCTTTAATGCATATCCAATATATTACAATTTTCTTAATGCTATCAAAAATTCAGTTTCTCTAACACTTACAAGGCACTAGTAGTATGTTTCATTTAGTATGAATAACTTCTGAAACAGCCATAAGCACTTAGGTTTTATTGCTTATTTAATTGAATATGATGAAAGAATATAACCTTTCGTGAGTTTGTGGTGTACCTGACATAGCCTACGAGGACTATTTGCCTAAGGAAACGGACGCCTACGAGAAAGATTTTATAAGGGCAACTAGCTCCTGTTCTCTTGAAAAAATACAAAAATGCCAAAGTATTTTCTCATTTTCTGGGATTTTAACCCTGGCTTAATACCAATATTCAATGGTCAGGTAGGCCTTTTACTAAGGCTGGAATTTTAATAACATTAGTAGTTAGTATTGCAAAACATTTAAAAATGAAATTAATGATTTCAAGGAAAAGTTGAATTAAATTGCGTATTCAATCTAATAATTTCGAGAAGAAGCAAAAATTGAATGCATATTCATCAAATATCAAGTCTGTCTTCTAAACAACTTTTACAAATCATTCGATAAGAATACTGCAGGAAGAAAGTGATTATTATAGATTCGCGCATATTGTACGGATCGTGCAATATGCGCGAATCTAATCTTTTAAACTGTGCAAACAGAAATTGCGTTGACACCAATAATTTCGTTCGACATATTCCGTCCTCTGTCAAACTTCAGTTGAAAACAAAATAATGATCCTATTAACAACTGTAAGGAAAATGAGAATCTCTGTTTTTAAAACTTTGGTGCTTTATGACAGTGTTTCTTTATACAATATATAACACTTTTTGCAACATATTTTAACAAAGTATAAAATTTTTTAAACATAAGTACTAAACTACTACGTTTTTATACTGATTGGATAATAACTAGACGCCTGTGCTTATACACTGATTGGATAATGTTAAGCGGCAATGCACGGAAAGGCTATTTACCTTGAGGTGGGCATCTTTATAGAGAGCCTTTTGAGGAAAAATGGCTAGCATTCACGTCACAGCTGCAATGTTAAAAGAAAAGAAAATTGAAAACAGACTTCTTCAGAGTTCTGGCGCTATGTTAAACAAAACGTAAATATGAACCAATCGAGCAAACATAGTGCATGAGCTTCAAAATTATTTTATTTAAGCCTAATCTAAGCTTTGATTCATATCAGTTGGGTGAACCTAAAGGAAATGAAATTATTAGTGGGAT